TGCCAGATTTTGGTGCTTCAGGCATACGCTGGTCTAAAGGTGCGACAGGAGCTTTAAAACGAAACCATCCCATAATGCCACAGGACGGCTCCCAGTGGGAGGTTCCAGGCTAACGCGCTCCTCTTTTATTTCAGGGCTCCTCTACTTCTAACTTTGTCGGTCATGCTTCTACGTCAGCTTTAGCTCCACCTTGAGAAGGTTGCTGCCACCTCAGCAGACCGACTCAGATTCACACAGCTGGGGCTTCATTTGTAGCCTACTTTGTCCCACAGAGACTGCAGCTCCTCCTGGCCTCCCAGATCCCAGAACATCAGGCGAGCTTTGCCCACATCAATTGTCCCAACTGCGAAGAAACAGGAAAACCCGTCAGAAATGATCCAACACGACAGAACGATTAAAGCAGCTTCCTTCTGAAAGGCAGTTTAAAGTCCGTCCATCTGTTTCTGCAGGAAAACCTTTTTTTTTTTATGATGATGATGATATAATTGAGAGAACATTTGAATGGATGCAGGTCTCAGGACAGTAAACAGCATCAGATGCTCAGCTTGAAGAGAAGAGCAGAGCAGACGTCTGGCTTCGGCAGCAGAAACAAGGCTGTGATCTGATGCAGAAACTCTGGACATGAAGTTAAAGACAAGCTGCCTGAAACACAGACTTACTGTTTAAACCGACAGTCGTTGTGACTTTGGACAGACTCATTCCTTTGTAGTTTTTACTGAACTTGGTCTTGGTTTGTTCCAGAAAGGTCTGCAGACAGAGAGAGAGAGATCACAGTGTGTAACCCCTTAGAGCGGCACTTTTTCAGCACCCCAGACAGCTCCTCTCCAAACAGGACGCTGTCCATGATGCCCTTCAGCGATGACTGGAATACTGATCCATCGCTGCATTAACAAGGGATGTTACCTCCTAATCACACAACTACACTATGAACCTTCCTTACCTTTAAATTATCTTTTTCCAGAATAAAAAGACACTTTTATCAATTCAAAACTGGGGCTCAAACAATTAATCAGATTAATCGATTAATGAAATAATCATCAAATAATTCAGTAAATGATGAATCATTAACTGGAGTATAGAGACTGTAAAACATGCCTTTAGCTGACAGAACAAAACATTAAGAGCAGGAATTATACAAAAATAGTAAAAAAAAAACTAAGGCTGCAGCTAACGAAATCAATTGAATTCTATTCAGTGT